AAATAAGCTTCTCTGGTTTTGCTTTTCTGGAGAACCCAACCCAACCTAGGACAGGGCACTTCTCCTCTATCATACAGTGGTTCTTTACATTGAAATTGATTGGGTTGCACCAGGTTTGGGTTTGGATTGCAAAGTCTTCTGCTCCTCTGAGGTAAGAATATCAGAAACTAATGGATATTGGTAGGTGCTTTGAGGATGTCCTCACTCTTGGTTTTGAAACATTGCTATGTATCAGAGCTCTAGTCTCTTTGGGATTATGGGTGAGGAAAAGAGGAGATCGAAGTGCCAAAAAGGTCTCAACACATTCTTGTCTCCAAGAAATTCATCACCACGGAGTCCAGGAGATCTAGCTGCACTACACAAGAGGCTAGAGAGAAGGCAAGGTGTCAGAAAAAACTTGGTGAAAATCCTTAACACTGATTTACTGTGTGACATTAGGCAGACCTCTTAACCTCTCTTAGCCCCTATAGCTTTGGACTTACTTAAAGTACAAAACAGTAGGCAAATCATAGAATACCCATAGTGTTATTCGACAACACATTGTGATAAAGACTCGAGGACAAGACCAGAACAAGTGCTCAAACAATGGAGGGGTCTCTGTTTTCATTTTGCACTGCTGTTCCTTGTTCTTCCCACGGATCCTCATATTATTCTCTTCCTAACTTCCTTCAGGTCTTTCCTCAAATGTCCTTTTCTCAAGCCAGTGCATTTAAGGTAAACAACTTTGTGCATTCTCGGTTCTCACTCCTGCTTGATTTTTGGTATCTGCCATGGGATCCCTACAACACATGCTTAATTTTCCTCTACTTGTCTGTCAGTTTGCTGTACCGTGGTGGCTTGTGTGTTGCTGAGATGCTGGAAGCTATGCCACTAGTATTTTAAATAGCAGCACAGTTGCCCATGGTAGACAGGTTTCAGCAGAGCTTCCAGACTAAGACAGACTAGGAAGGAGAGGCAGACCATGTCTAAAAGGTTAGCCTCTGAAAACCTTATAAACAACAGTGGAACATTTTCAGATATAGTATCAGAAGATGAGACCCCCTCAGCTTGGAGGAAATTCAAAATTGACTGCAGAAGAACTGCCTTTTCAAAGCAGAGTTGACCTTAATGAAAGGAATGGAGCAAAATGTTCAGATCCTTCATTTGCTGATGTGGTCCAACTCAACATGGGAAGAAACAGCTGAAAACATCCATTAATAACTGGAACGTGGACTGTTCAAAGTATGAATCTAGGCAAATTGTTGTTGTTGTTGTTAAGTACCATCAAGTCAGAACCGATAAGTATTGGGCTTCCAAGGACTGATTGGTGTGTTTGAATGGCCAACCTTTTGGTTAGCAGTCCAGTGCTTATCCCACAGCACCACACCAGAACTATTGGAATTTGTCAGAACCACAATATAACTCATAAAGATTGGTCTCCTAGGCGTTAGTGAACTGAAATGGACTGGTATTGGCCATTTAGAATCTGACAGTCGTATGGTTTACTATGCCGGAAACAGTAAATTCAAGAGGAATGGCGCCACATTCATTGCTGAAAAGAGTATTTTCAGATCTATCTTGAAGTACAATGCTAGCTGCAGTAGAATAATACCATACACCTACAAGGAAGACCAGTTAAATACCACTATTATTCAACTTGACACACCAATCAGTAAAATCAGTCATGATGAAACTGAAGAATTCTACCAACTTCTTCATCTGAAATTGACCAAACATGCAATCAGATGCATTGATAGTTCCTAGATGTCAGAAGAGACTCTGAATCTTGTTCTTGAGCACAGAGAAGCTAAAGAAACTGGAAGAAATGAGGACGTAAAAGAGTTGAACAGAAAATTTCAAAGGGCAATTTGAGAAGACAAAATAAAATATTATAAATGAAATGTGCAAAGACCTGGAGTTAGAAAACCTAAAGGGAAGAACATATGCTCAGCATTTCTTGAGCTGAAGAAACAGAGTTGCTGTTGGAATGGACTTGATGGCATTTAACGACCACCACCACCACAACCACAACAACAATGGCAAAATATTAATTGAGTGATTCAGGCAGCACCAAAAGAATATGTAAGGGTCACTGTACAAAATAGAACTGGTCTATGTTCAACCATTTCAAGAAGCAGCATATGACCAAGAACCAATAGTACTGAATGAAGGAAGAAGTACAAGCTGGCCTGAAGGCATTGGTGAAAAGCAAGGCTCCAAGAATTGAACTGTTTCAACAAACTGATATAGCGCTGGAGACACTCACTTATCTATGGCAAGAAATTTGGTCAATCGATTGGAAGAGATCTATATTTATACCCATTCCAAAGAAAGGTGACCCAATGGAATTCGGAAATCCCCTAACAATATCATTAGTACCACATACAAGTAAACTTTTGCTAAAGATCATTTAAAAATTATTGAGGCAGAACATTGACAAGGAGCTGCCAGAGATTCAAGTTGGATTCAGAAGAGGATATAGAATGAGGAATAGCATTGCTGGCATCAAATGGATCTTGGCTGAAAGCAGAGAACAAAAGAAAGATGTTTACTTGTGCTTTATTGACTTTATGAAAAGGGATTGGACTGTGTAGATCATTCATTACAAACCATGGGTAATATTGAGAAGAATGGGAATTGCAAAACACTTCATCGTGCTTGTGCTGAACCTGCACACAAATAAGAGGCAGTTGTTTGAACGTAACAAAGGGATACTAAAATCAGGAAAAGTGTGCACTAAGGTTGAGTCCTTCCATCATACTTATTCAATCTATATACTGAGCAAATAATATGAGACGCTGGGTTATATGAAGGAGAACATGGCATCATGATTGCAGGAAGATGCATTAAAAGCCTATGATATGCAGATGATACAACCTTGCTTGCAGGAAGCAAAGAGGACTTGAAATACTTACTGATGAAGATCAAGGACTACAGCTTTCAGAAAGGATTACACCCCAATGTAAAGAAAATGAAAAACCTCACAACGTGGCCAATAAATATTGCTAAGTGCCATCAAGTTGGTTCCAACTCATAGTGACCCTGTATAGGGTTTCTGATGAGCAGCTGATGGGTTTGAGCTGCCAACCTTGGTGGTTCCCAGGCCTCCAACATCACACCAGGAATCAATAAATAGCATCATAATAAATGGAGAAAAGATTGACGCTGTCCAAGACTTCAATTTTCTTGGGTCTACCATCAACATTCATGGAAGCATCAGTCAAGAAATCAAATGATGTGTTGTATTACATAAATCTTCTGCAAAAGTCCTCTTTAAAGTATTCAAGAGCAAAGATATCAGTTCGAGGACTAAGGTGCACCTGATCCAAGCCATGGTATTTTCAATAGCTTCATATACATGTGAAAGTTGGACAATGAATAAGATAGAAGAATCGATGCATTTGAGTTATGGTGTTGGAGGAAAATATTAAAAATACTATGGACTGCTGGAAGAACAAACAAATCTGTGCTGGAAGAAGTACAGCCAGAATGCTTCTTAGCAACCAGGATGGTGATACTTGTCTCATGGACTTTGGAAATGTTGTTAGAAGGAATCAGTCTCTGGAGAAGGACATCATGCTCGGGAAAGTAGAGGGTAATCAAAAAAGAGAAAAACTCTCAACGAGATGGAATAACACAGTGACAGCAACAATGGGCTCAGATACAACTGTGAGGATGGTGCAGGGTTTTGTTACTTTGTGCATAGGGTCACTATGAGTTGGAACTGACTGGACAGAACCTAAAAAAAGTTTCCCCCTATACAATCTGCTTCTCCTCTCTAGTAATTAAACTCCACAAGGGATTGTTTCTTGTTTTCATATCCCTGGCACTTTGAAGGAACAAGTAAAGGTAAGGGGGACAGGTGAATGGGGATAGAGAAAGGAACAGGTGAATGGGACAGGTGAATGGAGATAGAAAAAGGAAGAGGTGAGGGGTACAGATAAAGGAGACAGGTAAATGGGGATAGAGACAGTAACAGGTGAGAGGGACAGGTAAGTGCCTGGTACAAAGTAGAGGATGTATAAATACTTGTTGAATGAATGAAGGCATTTGCTACAAACCTATATGGTTCCTTGAAGTGGTGCTAACCTCAAGGTTGGTTGGTACCACTTCCTGGGAGAAAGATGAAGTTTTCTGCTCTGGTAAATGCCATTCAAGATTGCTTTGTATAGGAATCCACTCCAGGGTTGTAGCTTTTTTGTTTTGTTTTGTTTGTTTGTTTGAAGTAGGTGGCCGTGGCCCAATTCCTTAGCAAAGCCTCATGTTAAAGATTTTAAGACATTGTGTTTCTCTGTCTAGGTACCAGGTGTAGAAAGGTGAAAGGGAAGGTTGGTGTCTTTTTAATCTTTGTGTGTCTCCACCATTTTTCTTTTTGTGTTCCTAGCACACAGTTACCTAGCATTCAGTAACCCTTCCCCTACTTCTCTCTGATAAAAAGCTGTCTTTAGAAGCTCCAGCATACCCACTACATGTGCCCTTTCCCACCACTTTACAAATTGAAGAAAGACCAATCCCTGTCTTCAGCAGCACCACCACCACCCAGTCTGGAATCCAATCTCATTAGGACCCCTGGTCCCAGCCCTGAGAACTGCCTTGCTGGGAATCTCACCATTATGAAGGCAAACATGGAATGCTCAGAATCTGTGTTAGTTTCTCTTTCGCTCCAGAGTCTCCTACCTCACCTGGGCCCGCCCCACCCTGGGTGTCCCGGGCTGGGGTTTCCCCAGGTGTCACCCTCCAGCCGTTTCACTTTTCCTACATAAGACGGGATTGCCCGTCTGCTCAGGCTAAAAGCTGCACCATGGAGCACAGGCAGTACTTGTCTCCAAGACGGACGTGGACACTCACAGACACAGCCAGAGACAAAGACGCGGGCTGAGACCCAGAGGAGGAAACGGCAGTCAGAGACCTGGAACAAGACAGAGTGACAGACACACTCAGATAACCAAGCTGCAGAGCAACAACTGGCTCATCCTCCTGACAGACCAGGAATGAAGCTGGGTGAGCCCCTCCTCCCCCATCCTCAGTCAATGCCCATGACCCTCACCTGTCCCGTTCCACCATCACCACGCACCCGACCCCCCCTTCCCACCCCCACACCCATGCTCAGCACCTGGTCTCCCCACCTCCTCATCTCTCCATCCCTCCACCACACAGACATGGCCGTGGGCTGCCTGCTGATGCTGATGGCCACTTTGCTGACCATGACAGGAGCAGCTCCCACCCCCACCCCCAGCAGAGCCCTCCTGGATACAAGGGGCTGCAACATGGCCAAGTTCAAGTCTCTGTCCCCTCAGGAGCTGCGTGCCTTCAAGAGGGCCAAAGATGCCCTTGTGAGTCTCCTCTCTGTCCTGCTTGCTGTGGGCTAGCCTTCAAGGCCGTCCCTCTGTGGGTTAACCCTGCTGCACCTCCACCCTCTCTTCCCTGGGCTAGCCTCCACCCTCCCTTCCCTGGGCTAGCCTCCACCCTCCCTTCCCTG